AAAAAAAAAAAAAAAAAAAAAATGTGTTCCCTTTTTAGAGGCTGCCGGGGACACCTGACATATCTATGAGAACAGCAAGCCTTGAACACCTCTCCAGATAAAAACCCTAGTGTGGTTTTGGTGGTAACTGACTGAAAAGACAACTGTGAAATGAAAACTGTGAGTGAAACCACAAAGTAAAAATCATACCATGGGTAAAAAGCGGTGAGAAGTTCTTTGGATACAGAGGGTGCACTATACTCCAGTGCAGTCAAAAGCTCTCCAAAGAAAGCCTTTAAAAAAAAAATCTTTCCATGCCTCAGTTTCCTAATTTGCAATACTGGATAATTACAAAACCTACCTTACAGAGCTGTTATGGGAATCAAATGAGATAATACCCAAAAAGAACAGGGGTGGATTTGAGTGTCAGAAAAACTGAACAGGTAAATGTACAGCCCACATTCCCGTCGGTATCCTTCCCGATACCCAGCTCAGCCCTTCATCCCAGTGCCAAGAGCATTCCTGCCCCCGGGATGTCCCTTAAACATCTGTCAAGGGTTCAGGACTACTAAGAGCACTTGATAAGTAAGTCTATGCACAAGAGAATAACTGTATAGTTTCTGGAATCACAAGTAAGCAAGTAACTTTTGAACCTACTAGTGCTGACTTTACATAGTTAAAACTGCCCTCTGCTAAGTAGGATTTAGAAAATAAACTGAACAACAGTGAACTCTTAAATTTTAATTCTCTAAGGATTATCTGCATCAGAACTTCCCTAGCTCCACACCAAGGGGGAAATAGGTAAAAGGTCTATTTCTCTCAGAGCAAAGAAGGTGAGTACAGCAGCACTTAGGATGGGCCTCTGCAGCTTGTGTTACTGAGTTCAGCTCAGCTCAACCAAAACCCAGGACGGGGGACAGTGAACAGGGGTGAGCTTGAGCTTTTCAAGGATCCAGAGTGACCTTGGCTAATCAATTCACTTTTGTTTTAAACAACTTCATGACTTCAGCAGCTTGATTAAGGAGGGTATCTGTCATTTCCTTTTGAAATGATGAGGTATCCCTTTCTGTCATTTAAATGGAAACAGTGTCTCGCAGAGCTCGGCCACTGAGAAAATCTAGGAAGGGCCATCTTTGTTTTTATCGTAAGGAATCCTTTTTTGAATTACTGCTCTTTTATAAATAACATTGGTCTCCATCTGGCCTTAACTAATCTCTCTGGACCTCAGTTTCCTTTCCTTAGAAGATCTCTAAGGTTCCTTCTAATCTGAAGATTCTAGCAGAATAACCGTCATATGAAAAGCAACAGGAAACTCTTTGCAGGGTTCACTCTGACGCTATGATTTTCTAAGATCTAAACAGCATGCCAGGTGTTTGTTGGTGTCCCGGCAAATGCCTGAATCCCCCTCACCCCATTTGCTGTAGAAATGAAAGTGGCTTATTCTAATGCCAAGAACTTTGCTATCAATAGGCTAATTTCAGTTTTCACTTGGAGTCCTGTATCCTATGACTGAACCAAAGGGGATCTGTTATCAGGGTCCTTTCAGAAGTATTCTGGAAGTCTGTCATAAATATTCATTGTTCTTTCACACAGTTTCAACACTGACTCATGGACGACTTTCCTTTGATCATCAAAGATATTAAAAGTTTGTTTTTTAAAGAAAAACATGTTTTCCTGCGGAAACTTAGGGCTCTTGACACTGCTTATGAAAAAAAGTAAGACTTGAAATTTAAAAAATCAAAAAACAGAAAAACCTAACATTAGTGTCCGGAATATGCAGACCCTCTGATATATAGTCCCGCATGTTATCTCATTTAATTATTAAATCATTATTATTTTGTATATTTTTTAAGAGGTGAAACAGATGCTCAGAAAATTGGGATAATGTGCTCCAGGTCAACCAGCTGGCAAGAAGCACAGCTAGAAATCAACATCCATTGTACTTGCATTTTAGAGCCTCAGCTTTCCATTAAAATAATCAACACCATTCCCTTTATTCTTCTGAGTTCTTTACAAGTCAAGACTGAAGGGAGCTAACATTTGGGTTACTTTGGCTCTATCATTCTTCAGTATAAACCCAAGAATATGTTTTAATAATTTCAATACTCAAAAATTCCTGAAGATTTCTTTTTGTCTCCATTATTGTTGTTTGAAACTCTTGTCCCCCACTCCCACTCCAATAAAAAATCTATATTTTCTGATTGAATGGAAAACAAAACAAAACAAAAACCAAAAACACCAAGGTTACTATAATCCTGAGCCTATGATTAAATTAATACATACCAATTATTTGGACACAGCTGGGCACAACAATGGAGTTCCATAAATGGCAGCTAAACTTTTTATGCAGAAAATCTTGGATTAATCAAGAAAACGGTCAAGTTAAAGTTTTATCAATTTCACGTGAGGATCCCTGGGTCTTTTGTGTCTTAGAATGCCATTTGCCCCCATGTAACCATCCCAAGTGCTAAGACTGAGGAATCCAACACAAACACTGTCTTAAGAATCTATCCCAAGTCTCTCCTAGGAGAGCTCCATAGCAGTCGGGAAGGATATTTTGAGTAAGGGGGGGAGCCAGGAACTGATCTGGCCATGCATTACCTCCTCCTGCATTTTCGTGGCAGTCAGACGAGACTTCTCTGCCTCTAACGTTTTCTCCTTCAACTGCCTTTGCATCTCTGCAAGCTCCCTGCGATTTTTCTCCTTGTACTCATCCAGCTGGTTCTGGAGTTCCAGTGTTGATGTGCGGGACACCTCGACAATGTCAGCCATCTGGAAGAAGTGACACTGGTGTGAGCCCACCCTGTGATGCTCCACCTGGGTCTAAGGAGCTAAGTTTGGGTCCCGTCTAGACACAGAACACCCTTCTCCTCTTTCTTCTACAGCCTCCCCAAAGACTTTGCAAAGTGCCTGGTCGTGAGCTGCCTGGGTTTAGTCACCTCTAACTGGGAAGCAGTGTGGAGGAGTGAACCAGCACATCCTCGGGAGCCAGATGAGAGTCTGGGGTCATACCCTTGCTCGGCCACATACCAGCTATAAGACTGGGGCATGTACTTACCTCTCTGGGCTTCGGTGGTGTCCTCGTTGGAAATACTGAAATCATAATATCTACCTTGCAGGGTTGTTGTCAGAATGAAAACAATATACAGGTAGAGATAGAATTCGAGTTAGATATAGAATAGCTAGTCCAGTGACTGGCACATAGCAGGTGTCAGTGAATGGCAGGCACTCATGTGGGCTGCTAGAATGCGAGACGCCCCTCAGCTTTGAGCCTTTCCCCTTCTGGGTATTTTAGGCCAGAGACGAGCAGAGAAGCAGCAACCACTGGGCTATGAAATTGCCTTCCTGGACAAGAAAGCTGAGTGCAAATGCAGATGATGCTCAAATGCAGAGGTTCTGATTCAGGTTACATTTGTTAAGTCTGCACTTTCATGTCAGGCTTCTTCAGGTAACTGTTGAGAGGAGCTGGGCCCAGAATCCAGAGGGCACTGGCATATTCTAGACAGGTTTCTCTGTATCTGGAACTCTCAATCAGCTCAAAAAGCTGCTTCAGGGGATCTGTAAATCCCTGACACATTTGTGCATAGATATAACTACAGGTTTCCTGAGCTTTCATCAGGCCCTCAGAGGGGGCTGGGTCCCTAACCAGGTGTTTGCCCCACCAGCGCTCCTTGTGCCCCCTCCCCCACTCCTGCTCCCTCACCTCCTTCTGCAGTTTCTCAATGGTCTTGTCAAGGTGCCATCGCTCATTCTCCATTTCGTTCTTCAGTCTCCTTAACTGCTCCTTCTGCTCGGTCTCATCTTTTAGCTTCTCAGTCAACTGCTTCTGTTCCTGGGTGGCCCGACTCAGATTTCTCTGCAGACAGCAGAGAAAGGACAGTGTTGTCATCTATCTACTAGGTCAGCCACAGGGACAGGTGGCAGAGGGAGTTTCACAACCACACCACAAAGCAATCAGACCTGTTACATTGGTGACAAGGAAAAGGATGAAAATAAAGCCATCGCAGAGACACAAGGACATTGTTGCTTCTGAAATTCAGGGACCAAATTGCAAAGTTGACTTAGCCAAAAACTTACAGGGGTAGACAAAGGGTTTATTACAGAAATGCAGAGAATGGCCAAGGCTGCTGGGGGTGGGAATTCAGGGTAGTGTAAAACCTGATTGTTCATACTTGGAACTTGAGGTAAAATTATACATGAGATCAACCTGAACCTATGTGGCAGTTTACATCTGTGATATACAGCATTGCACCTAATATTCTAAAATCTGCTATGCTCTGCTTTAGCTATGAAAGTAGCTAAAAATGAATTTATAAGGACAGAGAACACTGTCTCATAGACGAAGAGTTCACTTGGGTACAGGGAGCTGTAACCAACAGAATCCATGTTTTGGACTCATACATAGCAGAAAAGGACTTTGGCAATCTACGGGTTGATAAACTTGAGTAGAAGATGCTAAATGGAAGAGACACTAGTCAAAAACAGCACATGGGAGTGGTTATATAGTGAATCAGCACCAAATACTAGTACTTAGTATAACCATCTTGGGTGTAATATTTTCCCTGGGTTCCCCTGGAGCTCTCATCTTACATAGACTGACATCCTTTAAGTAAAAAACATGCAATTCTAAAACAATATCCTAAAATATCTTAGGAAGGTTCTAGTGGCGTCTTTCAATGGCTGTTAAGACCACTGGTGCGAGGATATCAAGAAGAGGCGCAGCTCAGAATGGGTCAGCAGGACCCAAACGTAGGCTGGATTATCTAGAAAACGTTATCAGGTGTTGAGGGCTGAATGTGGGTTAGTACTTGCACTGCTTAGGACCCACTCAGTCTGTGTGCCTGTAGACGCTGGGTAAGGACAATGGTTTATACTGGTACAGTGCTTAACAGTTGACAAGCTACCGTCACGTGCAGTAACTCAACATCTTGAAAACACTCCCAAATCACTTCAGGCGCTCTCGGTTTGCAGGGCATACAAGTCGCTCTCCTGGCCAACCACATGACCTGGGGCCACAAAGTCTTCCTGCTCCTCCGCTCTGACGGGCTGGCAGCACTCAGAGAACCAGCCGACCCAGTCCAGCTACTCAAGTTAACTGCTGCGGAGAACCAAGGTCAACAAAAGCAGTTGGGGAAAAGAAGGTGGTAAAAGGACGTTCATCAGCAGGAGTGCTTCCCACCACAGCGCAGCTGGGCACACACCAGAGACAGGGTCAGTGCCTGGGGTTTGTTTGTGGTTGATTTAGTGGTGTTGGGGGCAAAGGGGAGCACACAAAGTGAGGTAAGCGATGCATAGTTCCATTGTGTGGGAGAAAACTCTCAGAAACATGTATCTCAAAATGCAAAGTCTTGAAAAACAACAGTACAAATACAGAGGGCAACCAATGGCTTCCTGTAGAAACTTCGGGAGCCAACTCAACCCCTGCCCTTATGAGTCCCCCAGCCTCTCTTTTTTTCCTCCTAGATCCCAATCCCAGGGGCTCCGAGACAGCAGGCAAGCCAGCCCGGGTCCAATCAACCTCTGTGTGGCGTGTGCATTTCAACTCCACCCTTGGTGCAGGCAGGGCTCCCAGCCTGGCCCCGCTCTCCTGCACCACTGGAGACACCACGGACCCATCCACTCTGGGCCTGGGGCCTGGCCAACACCACCCCTCAACACATACACATTTGCCTAGAACAACAGCTATGCTGAACTATTTTTAAAACATTTCTTGCATTCTTGCCTGTCTTGCAGGGTAGTAAGATCAGTAAAGGCGAGGAATAGATTTTCTGTCTGGGTATGTCTCATAGCCCAGGTTCACTGTTAGGCATATGTTAAAAACTCAGTGAGTGAAAATGAATACCTATCATCAAAAGTGGTCCAAAGACCTCTTATATCAGAAATACCAAGCAAGCGTGGAACACTCCTTACTTAAAAAGCAGATTCCAGACCTTTCTGATGAAAGCCACAATTTTTCTTAAGAGTGAGGCCCACAAATTGGCACTTGAAGGCTACCCAGATAATTCTAATATACTCGGAAGTTTAGAAATGCTGTTTAGCACGATGCTCTGCCTCTTTAGTTATTCAAGAATTTCCTTTAACGCATCACTGCTGAGAAAACACGACCCAAATTCACGTGAAAAGAAGCAAATCGGCAACTTTGCATGTAGGGGTTAGATGTGCAATGCCCTGTACTTACAGTGACTTTATTTCCAAGACCAGCAATTCAAGCCTACTGACTAATACTGGAACAAACATTTGGGGAAAATTTATCAAGCTGGAGAATCCAAAACACAAAGTTGGTGGATGCAGAGTGAGTGCCCTTGAGCTTGGGGACCATTATCTGTCAGTGGATGCACAGCCTTTCACTACATGACTGAGGAAGGTCCTGATTCCTCCACATTAACAATCACCAAGTGGCAGGTGAGCCAACGGATTTAAGAAATGAGAGGTTTGATCAGAAGGAAGCTGGTCTTCTCAAGCCCTTGCCACAAAATAACCGTGGACCGTACCAGTGAAAGCACTGGGGCTGGTTAATTCTGTTGTCTCAATACACAGAAGTCCAGTAGGAGGGGAGGTCAGGGCATACAGAATCTACACACCATTGTGCCTTCCTGAAAGAAAGAACTTGCCCATCTGCAGAAGCCACTTCTCAAGGGAATCACAAATGTTTCTTCCTTGAACGCAGTTCGAGTCCATCTATGTCGCAGCAATTAGGGTTGTAGGGTACAATCCTAAACCAAATGCTAGGGGTCACGTGAACCAAAAATTATACCTTTAGGACCCGTTGCCACTTTCTGACTGCGTCATACGAGTACATAATAAATCAGACCTAAGATCACATGGTCTTCAGCTACTATGGAAAGAAATATATTTATCACACATGAAGGTGCAATAGATTGCTACAGACACAAAAATTTTCAAACTTAAAATGCTTGTGTGGAAAAAAAAACTGCTTGTGTTACCCTTTCTGCCTCCTCTCAGGGTTAAGCTCCCTTTCAGTTCCCGGCTTTGGGGAGAGAGGCATGTAGAAAGAGGTAGCGAATGAAAGGAGCTGACTATCTGGTTCCAGATTTTTAGAGAAAATCAAGTATTTTAGCGCTAGGGCGCACTTTTCACGGCACTGCTTTCAAGACCAGATAGTTCAGATAAGGATGGAGAGATTGTTGGGCCCTTTTTAAATTCTTGCCAGATGGTGTTGCCAGTGGTTAGCATGGCCACACACAGCAGGAAGCATTCTCGCCAACTCAACACTGCTGGGAAAACAGGCCCAAACAAAAGTAACATGTGAGGGAGAATTTCCAAGGACAGAGAGCCGGAGGTGCAGAGTGGAGGGGGTAGAGATGGGGATTACATTAAGATTTTTAGGCCTTGAGGCCATCATCTGTTCTCTCCCCTGAATTAACTAGGAGCCTGTTTCACAGCTGGTGAACTACTTCCTTATGTGTGAAACTTTCTGGTTTGACCAAAGGACGATGAAGACTGAGAGCTTGTCACAGCTGCCCCCAGCACTCCATGGGAAGACGAAGGTGCACATTTTTGTCCCTGTAGGGTACAAATGTCTTTCCTCCCTTTCCGTCCCCAACAAGCTCACAGTTTTATACCTCACGCTTTGGCAGCTGGGGTGTAGCCCATCACGAGCCTTAAACAACAGCACAGTGAAATTGCCATCCACACAAAATCAACCAAACAAGAGTTTGGCACAAAGACGTAGATTGAAAGAAGTGAGAGAGAGGGAGGGCAGGCGGCAGGGAGGGAGAGGGGGAAGAAGAAAGGAGGAAGAGAGGAAGAGAGAGAGAGAGAGAGAGAGAGAGAGAGA